TTTTTGGAGGGGTTTCTCACTCTAAGTCTTTTCTTAAAGCTCTTATTGGTTCTTCATCTTCTTTTCCGGATTTGAGGTATTCTACATATCGTGGTTTGCCGACCTTATGGGTTTCCGATGAGGAAATCACAGAGCTTGCTGCACCTTTCCGTTTTTCGTTAGTTGGATTTTTTCCTTCTAAACGCCCCCCTCTCGACTCTATTCGATTTTTTTTTTTAATTTGAAGCTGAATGGAGAAGTATCTATTACGGTTTTGGATCCTTCTCACATCTTGATCAAACCGTCCAATGATCTAGACTATTGTAGGGTATTTTGTCACTGTTCCTATCTTGTTTTCAATTGCTTTATGAAACTTACTAAATGGTCGCCTAGTTTGGATATCGGTGTTGAGTCGCCGGTTAATTATCCCGATCTGGATCTTGTTTCCTCGTCTTCGACCGCATTTCTTCTCTCCTCGAATTCTTTCTGGTCTTGGCGGTTTGTTTGGTAAGCCCCTGAAAATCGATGAAGCAACTACTGTTGGATCCCGTCCATCCATTGCTCGTGTATTAGTAGAGCTTGATATAACAAAATCCTACCCCAAGCAACTTTGGTTAGGTTCGGAATCTTTAGGTTACATTCAAGAGGTAGTTTTTGATGAATTTCCTCAATTATGTGCCGGTTGTAAATGTATTGGCCATTTACTAGATAATTTCCGTCCTGTTAAGCTTGTGATTGAGAACTCTCCCACCCCAAACGTTAATTTAGATGTTCTAAATATCGATAATGTTACGTCTCATACTGTTTTGGAGTGTGAGAATGTGAATGATGTGGTCTTCCCTGTTGCTGATTCTCCGTCTGCTACCCCTGCTGTTGGGGGGGCTTCTCTGTCTTTGACGGATCTGGTTGTGGGTGATTGCCAGACTAAACCTGCTGAGTTGGTTTCATCTGTTGTTCCCATAATTGTGGATCCTCCTCCTAATATTGCTGATCCTGTTTCGGCTTCGGCACAAGATGCGTTAAATGGGTCTGTGTCTGGTCTGGCCGATGCTAGGGAGGAAATTGGAAGGCTGGATCCTTGCAGCGTTATTTCTGAGGTTGTTACGAATGTTTTATCACCAAATGCTTTACCTTTTTTTCCACCTACTTTACCGTCTACTAGTAATGTGAATTTGCCGGTTAACACTGCAGGTAATCTTGTTGATGTTCAATCTTCTGTGAACCCTTTGGTTCCTGCTCTGGCTGAGGTTGTGACTCATGAGTGCATACCGGTTGTCAATAATTTAATTGATGTTCCTGTTAATTTGGTCGATACGCAAAATATGGTCACTATCTTGGGTGATGGTTCTTGTTTGGATATTAGGAACCATATTAATTGGTTGGATGGTTCTTCGAAATGTGAATCTGAATCCAGATTTTCATATGGTGGCTTGGCTTCTCCGGATTTCTGTGGGGATTCGTACCCTAGTAATGATTTCACTCTTATTCGTGCTAGACCTACTTTAACTGTTGCCTCTCAGGGGAGATTTCGTGGAAGAGGCAGGCGTAGGCGATAATGTTTTCTTTTTCTATTGCTTGTTCCCTGTTCTATTTTCGGGATTTCTGTACTTTTATGTTGATCGATTTGCTGGGTCTCTGGGCTATGGGAAATGATGCGGTTGGGACTCGTGTCCCTGACGCTTTGCTGGTGGCAACCTTTGGTGTGGCTTTATTCGGGTTGGTTCGTAGTTGGTCGCTGCCTCCACCTTATTGGACGGTCCGTGCAAGGTTTCAGGGTCGCTGGAAGCGTCGGCCGCTTACTGATCCCGCTTTTTTATTGTAATCTTCCTTTTTATCTTTTTCTGCTGTAACCGTTGATTTATCTATATTAATATATATGTTGTTTGGAAAAAAAAAACAGTTATTTATACTGCAAATTCATCAACATAGCAACTTTCATATTCTCATATAAAAAAAAGCTAAATCCATGAAAATGATGAACTCATTTGATGACAAAAGTAGTGAAGCATCAGTATTATTACGATAATGTTGAACTTCACAATTTAATTGTCATTTCTCAATTTTTCAAAATCTAAGACAAAGTAAAATATAAAAATTGTTTGCAAATATTTTACATCAAGAAATCAGAATTTTTCTAAATGAAAAATCATGATTTTTCAAAAGTAGTGAAGCATCAGTATTATTACGATAATGTTGAACTTCACAATTTAATTGCCATTTCTCAAATTTTCAAAATCTAAGTCAAAGCAAAATATATTTTGAAAAATTGTTTGCGAATATTTTACATCAAGAAATCAAAATTTTTTCTAAATGAAAATCATTTCAAAAGAATATTTTCTTTAAGAGAAAAACTCAAACAAATCAATAACATGCTTAGAGAAAATTATTTCTCGTTGATTCAACATAAAAAGCAGGCTATGATACCACTTGTCAGGATTCAATGGAGGCGAAAAATAATTCGAACACCTCCGAAAGACATGCAAAATCATTGAGAAAAAAATATAGGAAGCTTACTTAAATCCATTTAAATGCAAAATCGATGTCTTTAATCTTCCAAGTTTGAAGCGGCGTTCTCCAAGAGATCGAGCGAGATACCCATTCTATTCACTCAAGATAGGAAATAAGAGAAATGAGAAATGCACCGCTTAAACTAGGACCGTGACTCTTTTAATACTTCAAATGTATTTAATTTTATTTCAGCCCATCATTAAAATAAAATAAATACTTGACCTCTATACAAATAATTAATTTTATACAAATTTAAATGAGATATCACATAAGTCAAATAATAATTTAATTCTTATATACATCATGAATTTAATTTGCTCAATTTTAGATAGTGTCAAATGTATAATACTTTATTTATATGTATAAATTTATAGGCCCACATATAAAAATTTCTCAACACTAGATAATTACATTGTACCACAAGAATAACGGCTTCTTCTTTTCTCTATATATACTTGTTTGTATTTAAAATTTTATGATATAGAAATACATTTTCATTTCCTGCTTTTGTTCTTCTCGCAGTACTTGTCCAAAATTGTCACATACCTTTTTTTATGTTAGGCTGTTATTTGGAGATAGCATTATAATGCGCTAGAACGTTTAGTTCATTGCTCACATTTTCTTATTTCTCATGTCAACATATATTTCTTACTATCTAAACTTTTTCTTTGTAAATTATGATAGTGCGCTTAAGCCTGTTTCAAGGTTTTTATTCAATGGCCATATGTCGTAATAAGATAAAGGCCTTAGAGCATTATGAGTTTTGAAGAAGAAATTAGCTTACAACGATATCATGGATCTCAAAGTTATCAATATAATCCAAAGGAGATCCTCAAAATTGTCTTTTCAACATGCCTTCCATTTTTTGGGATAAAATTTAATTAAAAATAAATATTTTGAAAATAATTTACATTTTTTTTATTAATTACATTGGCTAAAATTAATTATTTTCTTAAAAAAGTAATTTTTTATGAGATAAAACGAAATTTATAAAAATATTTGGACCTTTCACAATTTTAAAACACTAAGAACATTTTTTGACTGAATTAGACCCACTGGTGGATTATACTGTCGTTTTATAAAATTAAAAAAAAAAATGAAAACAGCAAGTATCACCTTAAGAGCTAAGAAGGAATACTCTGACAAAGAATATGTTACTTCACTGTACATCAATAGAAAGAGAATAAATATTATTTAGCCCATCCAGATGCAGACAAGGAAATGTAGTGTATTATGGGAGTAACAGGAAAAATATTAGTTATTTATTTAATTAGATAATTAAATAAGAACTAACAGAAATTTGAAAATTAACATAAAAATGAGTAAGTATTTATATTCATTTTTATTTTTAAGATAGTGTTTATATATATTTTATAAATAGTCACATGATCAATTAAAGATTTTAAGAAGAATTATTGAAAGAAATTAACTTTTGATTTAAATTTTATATTAGATGTTTAAAAAAATGAGAAATTACTTTTTACAAAATTAAGTTATTTACCATAATTTTTTTAAAAATTTGTCCTATTTGGCTATTTCAATTCCTCCCAAAAGTCAAGTTTGGTCAAGCTGCAGCATTCACGGAATATATAGCTCAGTCGAGGCTAGCGAGCTAAACTAAATAGCAAATATACCAATAAACACAAAGATGCTTAATTTGTTCGATTGTTCCATGTTCCAAAGAACTCTATTAAAGAAAGAGTTTGAAAAGATTCGGCAATCTTATTTCATGACCACCAAATCTAATCCCCTGTTAAACAATTAATCAGTTAGATAAATTCTTATACCATTTCTTTCACCGAAAGCAGGGAGCATGGCACTTGGTACCTATAGCTAGTACACTTACCCTATAGAATATTTGCATGGGAGAACTACTTTACAACTTTTTTTTAACAGGTTATCCATGAGGCATCAGCTGTCACCTCCGAAAGGGCGATTTGCTGCGTGACTAATCATCAGCTAACCTAGAAGAGGTACCCACTTCAAAATCCTTCTGGTTCACACTTGATTGGGCCCCATTTAAGAGACGTTGCCGCTCGAGGGGAATTCTAGCACCGATTGGGGGTTCCCAACCGTATATATTCGCCCACCAATTAACCAAACTAATCATCGGTGGGAACTTTTATAACATTTTCAAAGCTTAACTTCAACAGAGTATGTTAAAAAATATTCACTAACCGCATAGCCGTTCGTATTTCTCACAAGTGCATTTAGAACATAATTTATTTTAGGGATTTTTACATACATAACACCCAAAACTATTGAAAACACATATTTAACACCTAAATTTTTAATTGCATGAGTACTCAAATTTTAAAATTTTTAATGGCAAGCACAAAGACATCTTCAATGAGAGTCTACTCTCCCAAATCCGTCCAAAGTGATAAGAAGGAATTGTGCTAATCAATAAAGATCAATTTTTGTAGCCTTTAAATAGTCAAGGTTTAATTTTCCACTACCTCAGCACACAAAAAACCTACTAGAGCCAGAACTGTTACACCAAGCACTGCACAATGGTTCTGTTTCTCCCGCCTCCGGACGACGATCAGTTCAAGGTGTGGCTGAAAAGCATAGATCAAGATGGTGATGGTAAGATCAGTAGGAAAGAGCTGCGACGCGCACTTCGTGTGCTTGGCGTGAACTGCGCGTGGTGGAAGGCTTGGAGAGCGCTGGTGCATGCTGACCTTAACCATAACAAGCACATCGACGGCGATGACGAGGCCGAGGAACTCATCAAATATGCCGTGAAGCGGAATTGGGGTATAGTTTTCGCTTGAGTTTCACTTAGTCTACAAGTGATAGTCTTCTATGCATGCTGATACCCCGCCCCTCTACGTTAAGTTCGGCTTCTATGCATACGTTTGGCATGCTTTTGTACAAATTTATTAGTATAGTTTGCAAGAGTTCGAGGCAAACAAAAGCTGTTACTCCCTCTTGTATCTTATTATATAATAAGAAATATTAATAGTTCTATAAGAAAGCTAAACCCATCGAGGATTAGCGTGGTCGGTGGACGAGCACGGTTGGGAACCCCCTATCCTGAGTTCGAATCCTCTTTACGACGACCTCCTCTTCAGTGGGCCAAAATAAGTGTAGGCCCGATGGCATCTTCAGTGGGAAAAAGTAAGTGTAGGCTCAATGTTGGTGGATGGGCTTGCTAGAATCCGCCGAGGGATTAGTTAAACCGCCAAGCGCTTCCTTTGAAATAGTAGCGGGTAAATATCCCGTCCCCGGAAAAAAAAAAAGTAAGCTGAAAGAGAGGAAAATATAAAAGAGGCTGTATAGGGGGTGTTTAGAAATTGAGAATGTTTTTTGTTTTCTAAAAAAAATTTAATAAAATTTTTTTAAAAAAATTTATTTAAAAAATAATTAGAAAACTATATCAAAAGAAGCCTAAATTTCTCTGACAAAAAAAAAAAAAACAATTGCTATCATATACTTTTAATTCTTCATTCTATCTTCTTAATTTTTCACATAAATAACTGAAAAAAAAAAAGAGATCCGGCAGAATTCTCAATGCATATTTGATTAGAAAGTTCAAGATTTTTTTTTTCACTTTTTAACTAATTTTATTATATTTTAATACCATCTAATTTCAATTTTCAAAATTTAACAAGTTTCTAACTTTGCTTTTATTGATATTTGATGATGAAATTTTAGAGGAAATATTGCAGGGAAAAAATAAAAATAAAAACTATTTTAGTATTCAAATTGAATTATTTTTGACGTTGTTGGATTCTCTTTATCAAATAGTTCAATTTAATTATAATTTTTTAAAAATTAGAGTTTATAAAATCCTAAAAACTTTTAATATAAATACTGCATCAATGTTCAAATTGATCAAACGAAATTTCTTCACAATCTAAATATTGATTTTTCATTTGTTTGAAGTTTTATGTACTTTGTGGTAGGATAAACTATGGTGCTACAAGAAGAAGGAAAAGAAATTTCCCATACCAAAAAACGAAATCGAACAAAGCTATTTTTCTCGGGTATATTAGAATTCAGGGATGAAATCATTGAAGTGGGAAAATTTTAAAAATAGCATTTTTTTATTTAAATTTAGAAAACAGGATTTTTTTTTTTTTTTTGAATAAGATCAAGTGGTCACTCTGTTGGCGACTTGCCAAATCGCCTTTTTTTTTCTGTCGCAAATTATGCAAAAAAATCAAACTGTATGTAGTTTCTTATAAATCTATTTAATTTTGTAAATTTTTTTTTTATTTCAAAACATAAAATAAAAAAAATAAATATAGTTATAATCTAGTTTTCGTAATCTAGTGTAACAAAAAAAAGAAAAAAAGAAAGGTCGCCACATGGCAGGTAAGTCGTGAAGTGGCGACTCGGTCTGATTTGCTAAAATAAATTCCCTCATGTTCTTTTTTAAATTTAAATTTTGAAAAGTTTTATTTATAAATTTTTTCCATGATAATTATGTGTGGATACAAGGAACTTTTATTCTATCCAGTGAACGTACGCAGAGGAAGGTTCGGTTTTAGGCAAAAAAGAGCTTGTACTTAGTTTTTTGAAAAAACTCGGTACACTGAAAAAAACTCGGTACAGGCGTTTTTTTTCCTAAAACCAAACTTTCCTCTACGTACGTTCACTGGATAGAACAAGAGGACTTGTGGTAGACAAAACCTACAATATATGCAATAGATCACCCCTGCGGCATCTAGGTCACAGTTCTTGGAGATTAGCACAAGAGCGACGCACTTATCACGAAGCGGCATCTCGGTTGCTGTTTTAGGTGGATAAATTTATAAATAACATTTATACGTAATGTGTTTAATTCTGCTAGGAGGAAACCACCTAAAGATCATAATATTTTAATTTTTTTTTGGGGGGGGAGGGCAATTGCCTAAAAACTCCTATAATAAAGAGTAAAAAGAGAATGGAGAGGAACAAATTACTTAAATATCCATGTAATAAACAATTTTTTAATTATTTTAGGGGGGGCAATTGGGGCCTACCCTGGCAACACTTAAGTTTTGTTAGAGAAAGCTTTTTTTATTGTTTTTAAAATGATTTTGTAGAAAAAATTAAATTTTTTTATTGTAGAAAGCTGTTTTAAGAAGCAACAAAAAAGTCGTCCCAAATGAAGCCCTTTGTTTGGGATCACTTTCTTATTGCTTCTTAAAATAACTTTTCAGTATAAAAGTTTAAATTTTTATATTAAAAAATTGATTTTAGTAGCAGTAAAAAAACCGTCCCAAAACAATCCTTGAAGTACTAAGGCCTTAACGGCTTTCTTAGGCTTCTTAAGAAAACTTTTTAGTAAAACATAAAAATTTTAGAAAATGAGAAATTCATAAAATGCGGCTAGGTTGTGAATCGGGAGTACATAAATAAAACGAGATTGAAGTAGTGATTTAAATTGCAACTATTAATAGTGACTAAAATCACTTATTTAGTAGCATTAAAAAAAAAACAACTATTATTTATTTCTGCTATTATTAAAACTTTTTAGTTGTGAAGCTTTATAATTCGAACAGCATATTCTTAATTTCTTCCATGACCCATCAAAAACTTGTAATAATGCATTAATATCTAATCTTCCTCATGCTTTAACTAATGGGATCACATAGTTCATCTTGCTCAATTGGTTGGGAGCTTTGACTATCAATTAAGAAATTTTGGGTTTAAATCTTAAGTACATATCGTATGTATGAGTTTGTCTTAATTGAGAGAAATTTCTCTGTGCGGAGGCCGGACGCAGCCCTACTTCCGGAGACGAATCAGGTGCAGCCACGTCAGCGGTACCGAGCTGAAGTTCCAAGCAGAACCGAGCCACGATACACAACAAAGGGGTGAATGACGCATTCTGATTGGCCTTCGGACAACATCCTAGATCTGCATATAATAAGTAATCCTTAATTGTCCTATATGTCCCACCCAAAAAAAAAATCTAATGGGACCCATGCAAATCATTATAGGCATAAGGACGGCATAAAACAACTGAATCAATTGAAATTGAAGCTTGAGATCTCTAAATTAGAAATCAGGAAACGTAATGCTTAAGCAAGGACTCATAGATTAAAATAATATCTCAGTTCACTGCACATCATATAAAAGAGAATAAATATTTAGCTCTCTATGTTCTATAGACATGCAAACAAATCTAGAGTTTTATAGAAGCACAGAAAAATATATTCCTTATTCGTTTATTTAAAAAATAAAGTAGGAATGAAGGGAATTTTAAAAATTAACTTACAAATGAAAAAATGTTGAATATTAAGAGTTCATTTGGGATAGCTTTTGGCCACTATTTTTTCGTTAATTTCAAAAAAAATTGTACTAAAAAACTGTTTCATAAAAAGCTATATCAAAAGAAGCCTAAGGCTTTGTTTGGAAATGCTTTCTTACTGCTTCTTAAAGCAGCTTTTTAGTATAAAAAAATTTAATTTCGTATTAGAAAACTACTTTTAGAAGTACTAAGAAAGCGGTCTCAAACAAAGTCAAACAAAGAGCTACGTTTGACATGACTTTTTTACTGCTTCCTAAAACACATTTTTAGTATAAATATTTTAATTTTTATAATTAAAAACTCCTTTAAAAAACAGTAAAAAGCCCGTCTCAAATAGAACCTAAGTCAATAGAATTTTTATGTTCTTAATCATGTTTGTCTCTTGTTTGAGAAATAGCTCACTGAAAATTTAAAGGCCATTTGAAGTTTTTTTTTTTTTTTTTTTTTTTTTTCTATTTTCATTTTGTTAGGCTTATATTTTGAACAAAATATGCTTAGAACTTTGAAAATTTTTGTTATATTTGTTTATATAAATAGTGGTGGTAGCGGTTGATGGGTAGGGGCAATGGTGAAAACAGGTGAGGATGTTTGATGATGGTTGGAACTACATGTGAGGCAGTGACGTTAGACAATTGATCACCTTAAAAAAAAAATATTTCTATTAAGATGTATGTTTTAATAAAATTGGCCATCATAAATAATAGTTTTTGCCCAATAAAAACTTAATGTTTTACTTTAGTGTTTATTATATTTGTTATATCATCCAAAAATTATATTGATCGGACACTAATCTCGAGGAAAAAATCAAGTTGGAAATTTCAAAAATTAAATATGGGCTCATATGAACTCCAATTTTAGCAAACTTATGGTCGAGTCGAGCGTCTCGAAAATACGAACCCAACGACACCAAATTCAACTCGATTTGAGGCAAAATGAGTCTGAATCGACGACCCGAAGCACATTCGGAAGGTTCAATCCAAATATGACATGCTTATAATCGAATCAAGCATCTTGATGAGAAGAATCCAACGAGCCCAAGATCACCAAATTCCAATACCATTAAGACCTTCAAATGTATGACAAACGGCCCACAATCAAGGAATTCAATATCGGTCGTCCTTCCAAACCAGTCCAGCTTTGCCCTTGATCCTCCTCTTATTTACAGGTCATGCCATCCTCAAAAAACTATAAATAACCTCTCATTTCTCTTGAAAGGGGGCCCAAGCAATAAGAAGAAGAGAAGAAGGAGAAGAGAAGAGAAGAGAAGAAGGACAGGAGGGAAGAAATCCCTCCTAAACCATCGCCGGATCGAATTCTGCCTGACTTCCAGGGGATGCCGAAATTCTGTCCGATTTTCACGGGACGCTGGAATTCTGTCTGATTTTCAAGTGACTCTAGAGTTTTGCCTGAATACCATCTAATGCCGGAGTTCTACCTTGTCGCAGACTGAATTCAAACTTCTACCCAATGACGGACCTCAACTCGTCGCCAGATTTCTACCTGACACTGGACTTCTGCCCGTTGTTGGATTTTTGGCAGATAACTATCCAATGTGGGATTTTTATCCATAGCTGGACTTCTACCTGACGCCGTTCTTCTGATCTCCATCGTCATACAACAATCCTTTCGACCCTATCGCCCGCCGACTACGATCCTTCTAACTTAAGTCGCCCACTGACTACAGTCCTTCCGACCTCTATCTCCCGCCGATTACGGTCCATCTAACTTACGTCGCCCACCGACTACAATCCTTCCGACCTCCGTCGTCCGTCAACTACAGTCCTTTTGACCCTACGGCGCCCACAACTATAGTCCTTTTGACTTCCGTCGCCCGCCGACTACAGTCCTTCTGACTTACGTCGTCCACCGAATACAATCCTTCCAACCTCCGTCACCCACGGACTACAATCCTTCAGACTTACGTCGCCCACCGAATACAATCCTTCATATCAAACAAATATATCAGCAGTGATTCTTTGTATTATTATTATGTAATTTACTCTATAAGATGTACATCAGTTAAGGCTTTCCCCCAAGGAAGGGCCTCATTTGTAATCAACTACAATACTAGTGGATTCTTTCAAACTGGGCTACCCCGTGATTTTTCCCCCTTTTCAAGGGTTTTTCACATAAAAATCTTGTTGTCTCCTATAAAAGCAACACCCTCTCTCTTGTTGACAGATAAGCAAGAAACGAGTAAATACACAAACAACTAGTTTGCTTATAGCCGACAAAACGGTTATTTCCGTTACTTGCTGACTGTACAAAATTCTTGTAATTTCTGCTATAAATAGCAGTGTATGGTCTGAAACAGGGGATATAGAAGATTCTCTTTTCCTCTCAATTCTTGATTTCCTGTCTTCTCTTACTGTTAGCTTAAATGAGCATTACAGTTTTCATCTCTTATATGATTGCGTGTCGAAATTTTGTACAACGCAAAGATGCTAAACTTTATTTTTCTCTACCGCCGCGAATACTCTAGGATGCAACAATCTTAAATCAAAATTACAATTTAATTCAACAAGTCAAAACATGCGGTTTAATTTTATTAAAATTTTTAATGCATAATCTCATTTGCAATTATGACTCACCTATATATTTTAAATAAGCTCACGAAATCGCTCTACATCCGGACGCCAATAACATGTCGTCAAGTGCTCTTACTCTTTCCTGTGCGGCCTGACGACCCGACCCGACTGGAACCCGATATTGCTATGTTTGGGTATTGCTAGGTATTGCTCGGTATTGCTAGGTATTGTTCTGTATTGCTAATACCGAGCAATACCTAGCAAAACTGGGGTATTGCTTGGTATTGCCAGGTATTATTCTTGACATAATGGTATTTCTCGTTATTGTCGAGCAATATCAAGCAATACCTAGCAATACCCCGGTCTGCATAAATCAGCCAATACATAACAATCCCGGATCTGGTCCGGATCGGGTCGTCGGGCCGCGCAGTAAAGCGTAAGAGCACGTGGCACCATTTTACTGACATCTGAACGTAGAGCTACGTCAGAACACCAGACCTAATAAAAATTCCATGAAACCACGTGTGTAGTCCATATTATAAACTTACCAACAAAAGAGCAAAGCTAAAAATGGTAATTTGCTCTAGGTCATTAATAAAAATAATAACAATAATAAATTTCAGTGATGTGGGACTAATTAAATGAGGGGAGTTTGCAGCTCTATATATTATGTGGGATGGAGTGGGAATGAGATTTCGAGTTCCAATATTTGACTTTTGTGACCTCTTATGCTCTTATAAATGATTAATATTTTCACAATTAGGTATTATGTTACTAGCTTTTTTTAACTGAATTTTTTATTATTATTTGATATATCATCAAAAAATTATCTTGATTGGGCATGAATCTTGAAGCAAAATCGAGTTGGAAATTTCAAAAATTAAATATGGGATCATATGAAATCTAATTTTAGTAAACTTACAGTTGAATTGAACTTCTAGAAAATACAAACCCAACAACATCAAATTTGACCCAATCTGAGCTTAAAGGGTCCAAATCAAAGACCCAAAGCACATTTGAAAGGTTCATACCATAATTTAGATTAGCAAACGAACTCCAAACGTGATATTCCTATAGTTGAATCGAGTACCTCGACGAGACAATCCAATGAGCCAAGATCCCCAAATTTTGATATCATTAAGACATTCAAATTCCCAATAAAAGATTCACAATCAAGAGGATCAACCTTCCATTCAAATCACTCCCAATTTGCCCTTAATCTTTCTCTTATTTATTGATTATGTCACTATCAAAAAACTATAATTAGACCCCTCATTTGTCATGGTAGGGGGTGAAAGCAAGGACCCAAAGGGGGAAAAATAAGGAAGAGAAGGAAGAGATCTCTCTTACCACCAAACTCCTCCTCGACCATCGCCATACTTCCGGCCAGCCACCAACTGTTACCGGACTTCCGCCCGGCCACTGAGTGAAGTTGGACTTTTGCTCGGCCGCCAATTGACGCTAAACTTCGGCCATATCACAAACTAACGTCAGACTTCTGTCCAGCTACTAACTGATGTTGGACTTCCACCCAATTTCCAATTATTATTATTGGACTTACACCCGGCTGCCAACTGACGTCGGACTTACGCCTAGTCACCGACTGACACTGGACTTACATCTGGCCACCAACTAACGCCGAACTCCTGCTTGTTTACGAACTAACACAGGACTTCCACTTAACCGCCTAGTACGATTTTTTCGAACTTCGTGCGATAATCATCTTTTTTACTTCCGTCGTCAGACAATAGTTTTTTTTACCACTATCGCCCGCCGACTATGTTTCTTTTGACCTTCGTTGTGTAATAATGTCTTTCTGACCTGTTGAATGATCGATTATGCTTCTTCCGACCTATAACACCTAATAACCGTGTTTTTGACTTTCGTCGTCGCCGACTACGGTCCTTCTGGCCATCGTTACCCGAATACAATCTTTTCGACCTCTGTCGCTAGCCGACTATGATTCTGCCGACCAAACAAACAAATCAATTCTAATTCTTCAAATTTAATGTATATTTGCTACATCAAACCAAGGTCAAACCAAGGCCTTCCTCCCAAGGAAGGACCTCATTTGTAATCGACTACAAATACTAGTGGATTCAATCAAATTGGGCCAGATCGACCCCGTTGTTTTTTCCCTTTGCAGGTTTTATATGTAAAAATCTTATTCTCTTATCTACACATTCTCTTTTATCTGATTGCGTGCTGGATCTTCATATAAATCTAAGACGCTAAATTTTATATTTCTCTACTACCGCAAATATTTCAGGACGCGACATTATTATTATTATTTAACTACATTACATTTTGTTTGCCAAGAAAAATGAAGTTGAATCCGCCCCTATGTGCCGGCAGAGATGTTGGCTAGTGGCGGACAGTGATAGTTTTTTTGTAAAATACTCAAAATATCAAAAAAAAAAATGATTTTGAGTGTTTTTTTTGGAAAGAACAGCATATTTTTATAATATTAGTAATAAAAACAGTTTAACAAAAATAAACAAATTTATATTTTAAAAAAACTAAACAAATTAAGAAAATAAAGTGATCCGAAAAAGACCCTCAATAAGTTGATCATTTGTCATAAAGACTAATTATTTGATTGATAATCTATTCCATGCTCTTCTAATCTTATTTTTATGTTTTGAATATTTCAAAAATAAATATAGCATACATGCAATTACTCGCGCAAATGTTTTAATTGTATCTATTTAGCAGCGATAATTATTAATTACAGCTGCATATCAACAATGATAACCCCTGCTCCAAAATAAAATTAGTAGCGATCGGAAAAATTACTCGCGCAAATTTTTTTTTTTATAATTTTAAATATTTTTTAATTTTGTTAAGTCAAACCTCATAGAGATTTTATTTGGGATAACATTTTTAATACTTTTAAAGCTATTTTTAATACAAAAATTAAAAGAAAATTATCTTAAATGATGCCTAAAATTTTTGTGCTAAAAAATTATTTTAAGAAACAGCAAAAAAATCATCTCAAAATAAACCTAAATGGCCAAAACTTCACATGAATTCAGCCCTTATAAACAATCATCTTTTTTTTTATTTATTTAACAATCATCTAATATATTTTATGGTTTCTAACCTACAAAGCCTGCTAAATCTATTCATTACAACGACCAATGATCAGCTGAAACTAAAATTTAGGTATGCAATGTATTTATGTATTTTTTTTTAGTTGGCTCAAAAATCCTTTCAAAAAAAAGTCTGTATTCCAAAAACCTCACAAGCGATAAGAGGGAATTTCACTATTCCAAAAAGAAATAAGAAAATTCCTTTCAGCAAAGGGAATAACAAAGCTACTGCTTAGGGCCCAAAGGCCACATGAATTAGTAATATTTTTTTTTTGGGAGAAGTAGTAAGATAATTAACTTGTGGAATCTTTACAAGTAACTTCCAACCACTTGGAAGTTAACAAAATGACAGAATAGCGAGAGATTATTCATCTTATCATCCATAGTTGAATCAGGTGCAGCTATGTCATCCGGTAACGAGTAGTACCGAGCTACGGTACCAAATATGAGGTGACATGGCGCATTTTCATTGGGCACTGAATTGCGTTCGACATCTGCACAAAATAATTCATCTAGAATAGCATTCAACTTTGCTAACCACCGATTTTTGGGGTCTTTAAATAGGCCCATTGTTTCAATACTCGTCCTCAGCACTCAATAAGCCTAGCTACTAGAGTCCACAAACCAAGCACTGCAAAATGGTTCATTTTTGCTCTCCATGCACTGATCAAGATAATCAGCTGACAGCGCAAGAGTTCAAGGAGTGGCTGAAAAGCATCGATCTAAACGGCGATGGCTTGATCAGCAGGAAGGAGCTGCGCGACGGGCTTCGTGCGCTTGGCTTGAATAGCACACAGTGGAAGGCTTGGAGAGCGCTAGTGCATGCCGACCTTAACCGTAATAAGCACATCGACGGCGATGAGGAGGTCGAGGAACTCGTCAATTATGCGAGAAAGCGTTGGGGTATAATTGTTAATTAACTGAGCGAAGTTGCACTCTTTTGTTTAATATATACAAGTGATGAAGTGATGGTCTACTGTGTTGGTGATCAAGTAGTGTTTCCTAAGGTAAAAAGTACGTACTGCAACCAAGCAATCATGTATTAGCAGCCTTAGCTGAATATAACCATCTCTACGTTTGCCTTTTATGCTGATGTATAACATGAGTATGTGGCGTGTAATATTTTTTTTTTTTTGCGACATTTAGGCCATTTAAGGCAAACTCACACACACTACGCATACACATAGACTCGAACTCTGAACCTCTTAGTTGGAAGCCTAAGCTCTCAACCAATAGGCCAAGGAGAGTTGTGTGTGGCGTGTAATATTATCAAATATATTTGATGTCTCAAGCTATGTTTGACTATTCTCATTATCATAACGACCACCACTTTTGTTGAGTACTTCTAGCCACCTTTAGCCATAACTGCTGATCAACATCATGGTCACAGGAGGCCGTTGTAGTCGGGCTTACTCTAAATTTATTTTATTTTAAATTAAACATAAAAAATATTATATTTATTTTACGCTTAAACAATTAATTCTTAAATATTTAAAATATATTACATTTATTTTATATTTTTTTCTCAGCAAGCTAAAAGTGGCACTTAATAAAGACATAACACAAATTTTTTTTAATTAAAAATAAATTTAATACCACTTGGAATAAAACTATTTCAAGTCAAGTCGGTTCAATTTGAAATTATTTTAATTTTGAGAAAAAAATTAAGTCAGCCTGAAAACAAAACTCTTCTAAATCCAAATTAAGCTAAATTCCCTCAAATCAGAATCAATATCAGCCCTGGATAACATAACACCAAATAATTAGTTAAGGGTCTATTTATGATGGCTTTATATCGCTTTGGCTTTCAAATTGTTATCTTGCTGCCCTTAAATTATTGCTTGCTCTTTGGCTTCTAAAAATTTATGATGGAATGTAGAAAGTTGTTGACTAAAAATTTTGGCACAACATAGAAGTACAAAGCAGAGACAACACAATCATTATTGTTGCGTCCTGGAGTATTCGCGACGGTAGAGAAATATAAAGTCTAGCATCTTAGCATTGTACGAAGATCTAGCACACAAGCAAATACGAGAGAGAGTGTAGCGTTTAAAAGAGACACCAAAGTTTTTACTTGGAAACCTCTGAAAAGGGGGAAAAATAACGAGTTCTGGCCCAATTTGAATGAATTCACTAGTATATTTGCAATCAATTACAAATGAGGCCCTTCCTTGGGAGAAGGCCTTTGCTTGATGTCACAAATATATTTCATATATAGCACATTATATGGTGGGAGTTACAATAATCAAAATAGACATGTTTGTTTGGTTGGAAGGGCCATAGTCGGCATGAGATAGGGGTACGAAAGACCGTAGTTGGCAGGAGACCGTGATCAGAAAGCCCGTTGTCTGGTGATGGAGGTCGGAAGGAGCATAGTCAGCAGGAGACAGGGGTCCGAAAGACCACAGTAGAATGGTGGTACTCCGGGAGAACTCTAGGTGTCAAGTGGTGGCCCAATAGAAGTCATAGTCTCAGGTTGTGGTCTGACAGAAGTTCGGGCCTCAAGTGGCAGTCCGGCAGAATTTCGGGCTTCAGGTGGTGGTCCGTCAGAAGTCTGGGCCTTATGTGGTGGTATGGAAGAAGTTCGAGCGTCGGGTGGTGGTCTGGTGGAGCATAGGGCCTCAAGTGATGGTCCGACAAAAGTCCGGGCGTCAGGTTGTGTTCTCGTGGAGCTCAGAGCCTCAAGTCGTGGTCAAACAGAAGTCTGGGCGTCAAGTGGTGGCCTGGTGGAGCACAAGGCCTCAAGTGATGGTCCGGCGGAAGTTCAGACGTCAGGGTGGTGGTCTGGTTGAGCTCAGGGCCTCAAGTGATGGTCCGGCAGAGCTTAGGGCCTCAAGTGGTGGTCCGGCGGAAGTTCAGGCATCATGTGGTGGCATGGTGGAGCTCAGGGCCTCAAGTGACGGTCCGGCAAAATTTTGGGCGTTACATGTTGGCCTGGTGGAGCTCAGGGCCTCAAGTGGTGGTCCGATTGAGCTCTGGTGGTGGTCGAGGAGGAGCAAGGAGGCAAGAGCGATCTGATCTCTCTCTTGAATCCTTTTGCTTGGAGCCTCCTTTTGCAAGAGGGAGGCGGGGTTTATTTATAGATTCCTAGAGTGGCATGACCCATAAATAGGTGGGAGATCAAGGGCATATGGGGAGTGGCTTGGATGGAAGTCCAATGTTGAATCCCTTGATCGTGGACCGTTTGATGAACATTTGAATGTCTTAGTGATGTCAGAATTTAGTTATATTGGGCTCGTTGGATTTGTTTCGTCGAGCCGCTCGATTCAACTATAAGAACATAATGTTTAGAACCCGTTTGATAATCCAAATGGTGGTTGGAACCTTCCAACAACGCTTCAGGTCCTTGATTTGGACTCATTTGGGCTCGGACTAAGTTGAATTTGGTGTCGTTGGGTTCATATTTCCGAGACGTTCAATTTGACTGTAAGTTTGCTGAAATCGGAGTTCGGATGGCCACAATTTTAATCTTGAAAGTTTCCAACTTGATTTTGCATCGAGATTCATGCCCGGTCAAGATAATTTTTTGAAGACGTATCAATTATTATTAATTTTAATTCTTGTGCAAGCTATCTGACAAATACCTGCCTAGATATTAAAATTTGGCCTATTTTCTTTATGGATAGCTTGAGAGCATTTGGGTTAAGTCGTGCAAAACTTAAGGCACCCTGGATTATGTCAGGAAGAGGAAGCAGAACAAATAAAATCAAGCTTCTTATTATGGGGATATGAGTAGCTCCCTCCATAGAGGCGGTTAAATTTCTCACAATAAGAGTATACGCCATTTAGTAAATTTTTTTTAAAATTTTAAGAAGATGTTGCAAATTTTGCTTATTAAATTATATATTTTCTTTTGTAAAAATAAGCACTCACTACAAAAAAAAAAACTTTTAATGACATATTTATTAAAATATTTTTATTTAAGTGCCTTAAAAATATTTATTAGGATATATTCTAATTTGATGCTAAGAGACACATAAAATTTTTCTAACAGGGTCCTAAATTAATTTTATTAAATATTTATCTTAAATTTATTCATTCATACATGATATTTACAATCTCAGTTTAATAACTATTTTGTTGAATTTATTATTTAAAAAAACAAATATTTAATTTAAAATATAATAAGCCCTAAACTTACAATGGAAAAGATCTCTTCTTACTTTTTAGTGAGTGCAACTGTGCAACTGATTTTATGTTTGTTCTTTCAAATAAAGAATCTGATGCCCCTCACACAGATTTTTTTTTTTTTGCTTTGGAGGATGCCAACGCCCCACCTGCTGCACCCTCAGAGTGTCGCCCATAGAATATTTGTAATAATACATGAGAGAACCACTCCAGAACATTTTAGAACATTACTTTAAATGCAGCTAGAACCTTACCGGTGTTTGTGATGCTCACAAATACATTTAGAATCAAGCGGCTCAACGAGACGAATCCAAAGAGCCCAAGATCACTTGAATCTGACTTATCTAGAGCATTTAAATGCTTGATAAATGCTCAATGATCAAGGGAATCACTATGAGTCGTCCGATGAAACACTCCCAACATGCCTTTTATCTTCTTCATAATGGATATGTATTCCGAAAAATTATAAATAGACTCATCATTCTTCATATATGAGAGAAGGGGAAGAAAGGAAAAAACTTAGGAGCTTTCTTGTTATCGATAGCCGCCAAATTTCTTTCCGACCTCTGAGTACCGTTGTTGTTCTTTCTTACATTTTTTTGTCACTGCTGGATTTCCTCTCGACTTCCGACCATTGCTAGATTTTTGCCCCTTCGTTTATCGCCGTCAAATCTCCTCTTGATTGTCGACTATCACCGGACTTCCATCAATTTGTTGATTATCATCAAGTCTCAAACCATCGCCAAACATTTGTTGAACGTTCCATGTTATTTAATCTATTGTTATGTGTGAAATCTGATTGTGTTGATCTATTTGGTTGTTCTATTCTCTCAAACCTCGATACTTGTCGTGTTCCTTGGGGGGTGGGGTTTACCCTCTGCATCAATTTGGGTGTCTTGTGTTGCATACCCAAGCGCCCTGGAGCTGTGTACCAGAGTGCCCTGTCAATGTGTTCCAAGCTAAGGTCCTTAGTGCTGAACGATAAAGAGCATAGCGTCGCAATGAAATTGATATGACACCGCAATGTTGCGTGACGATTTGGACGGTTTTCTTTCTCATTTTTATCTGAAAGGTTGAATCCCTTGGGTTTATTTTACTTAGCTTTCTCTTTTATTTTGTGAGTGTAGACTTTAAAAACTATGCATACAAGAAGAGAAGCAATGAGAGAGTGAGAGAAAAGAGAACTATACTTCTCTCAATTTTTATAGTGGATTTATTGGTGTGGTGTGGCTCCAAGGTTTTTCTCCTATTTTGAGTTTGTTCACATTAAATTTTGGTGTCATTTACTTTTCTTCTTCTTTACTTTCGTGTTTGTTTCATCATTGTGGTTTTTATGCCTCATTTCCCCAACATCTATATCAAGAGTACCCATATGAAGTTTAGTCCATTTTCTAATACATCCTCGAGTTGAAGGACTAGTCGACCTCTGTAATTTATTCAAATATTATTAGAATTTTTTCAATTGGGGAAGACCCCGTGTTTTTTTTTTCATTTTCAGGGTTTTACAAGTAAAAGTCATGGTGTTTCTTTATTGTTCTGTTTGTGTGCTAAATTTGCCTACATTACAAAGACATAAAACCATTTCACTCTACCGTCGCAAATCTCTCAACCCACAACAAAATTAAAAATAAAATTTAAATAAACTAAAATTAAAGTTGAATTAATAAAAAAAAATTATTTCAATACATTTAAAACTAAAAAAATTATAAATTTTAAAAAGCTTATAACTAACCCTCATATGGGTGCAAATGAGCCATGTTGGTTTGTGAGATCTCAACACATAAATGAGCTC